TCAACAGTGTCGTCTTCTTCCTCAGGCGGGTCATTTTGACCCGTTTGAGATCCGAATAGAAACCCAACGGTTTCTCCACCTTCCGAACACGAAAAGTCATGTTTCAAGTCACAAAATCTTAGAAATCCAATTTCCTAATGATATCTAACTTTATTTTTTCATAAAAACACATAAAACATTAACTTGAAATCCAAGGAAAATCACTGTAAAAATTTCTGTAAAAATGCAGAGAACAAACGAGCAAGGCAGAGGCAAAACGGGGCTCTGATACCAACTGTTAGACTTTAATTTGATCTATCATGTGTATGTAAATAACAACATATAGATCAAATGCGGAAATATGGAAAACGGAAAACTGACCTCCAGCCATTGATGCAGAAATGCAGAATTTCGGATTGTGTTTTGGTGCTTCTAAGCCTTCAAGAACTCCCTTAGATGGTGTGTTTTCGTGACTGAGAACTCAGGCTTAGGGACCAATACCACTATCTCAATTTATAAACTTCTTCCCATCAAAGAAGTTATGGAGTATTTTCGTAACAGAGAACTCAGGCTTAGGGACCAATACCACTATCTCAATTTATAACCTTCTTCCCATCAAAGAAGCTATCTTAAGCGGTTACCACGACGGTTAAGAGAAAGTGGTTAATCTATCGTAGAGGGAAATGTTGGACCATTTGAAATTTGAAAATATTAACAATTCCCAGGAAAACAATTCTAGGCAATTCAATTCCCTGGAATTCATTTTCTTTCCACCAAAATTCCACTCTTGCAATCAAACAGACACTTAGTAGTTTTCAAAATCTCTTCTTATGCTTTACGGAAACTAGATGCAATGTATTGTCTAGTGGAAATGAATCAGAAGAGTGCATATATTTTTCACTTACACAAGAAAAATGTCATTTCATTAGAGAGTTTCACATTTATCAAGGGATCAAAAAGGAATATGCCTCGTATTTCTGAAACATATATACTTGATATCTAGAGAATTAGTTGTAGCATGTAGATTTTAATACCAAAAAGATATGCAAGTCTGCACGATATACATCTTAAGAACCATACCTCAATAGCTAGCTGACAGTAGCTATTAAAGTTGGAGAGCTCGAGTTTATATAAAACACTAGTGTAAAGTCAATCCGACATGGGCACTGGGATCGTGGAGCATGGTTGATTGTTATGGTTCCCATTGCACGGTATGAGACTTGAATCGAAAGTATAGACTTTCAATATGTGATTTATATACACTTGAGCTCTCCAACTTCAACAACTGACTTTTGAGTATGGCTCTCCCAAAATTTATATCACTACATACTAAAATATAGTGGATAAATGTCCACGTACAACAATTCAGAATGTATCATATCACTTAAAGACACGATATGGACTATAAGCATGAGTAGATTATATAGATAGATATGACAAGCAGCAAGCAAAATCCAAAGTTCACAAGTAATTGGTTCATACTGTCTGATGAAAAGACCTTACTTGTATTGGACTAGCAGCCACTAGCACGCCCGCAATCCCCCCACCCATAACACGACCATCTGGGCCAGCCAAAGAAACGCTTAGTCCGCCTGTCCTACTTTTTATCCCACCGTTTTCAGAAAATGTGAACGATCCTGTTAAAGTTAAAATCTCAAAGCGCCCCTGTACGAATTACAACTTTTTAATTCAAACTCAAAATGCTTAAACACGGTTAAGATATCTAGAAAAAAAAGGAAAAAATATTCTCTAGATTAAAGTATCAAAAGAATATACATTTTATACACACATATGATTTTCAGGTAACTCCAAAAATGGACTATACATAGATATCATCTCAAGTCAAATATCTATACTGCATTCGCACATTTGTTATTTACGGACCTTTAGTTTTATATCTAATAGTTCATGTTTACCGTGTTTAAAGTGTTACATTTTCTAGCCAATGTGTAGCATTATTTTTTAATAAGAATGCACATATAGCCTCAATTGTTTTAGCAAATACGGCAGAGTAGCAATAAAAGACCTTTAGCTGTGAGAGATCCTGCAAGTATAAAGAATGGAGTATCCAGAGTTCCAGGTTTCTAGACTAGGCAAATAAAACGCTATTTAGATTGAAAATTTTCTGAGTATAATTTCTGAAACACCAGAGTGTAGTTTTTTATTGTAGGGATCTTCCTCTTTTAGTAAATAATAGTATCATGTTCCCTAAATATCAAGGTGCTCTCTTAATCAGTACCCCTTAATCATTGAACCGAGTAAGGAAAAGTTAGATGCTCTGAAAATACGGCATTCTCCACACGCTACTTCAAGTGAATACTTAACTAGGTTTAACACGACACAATACAAAAACAGAAATTTCTCGATGTTGAATCTTAATCGGATCAAATTGCTCATTGGAGTTTAGTGGGATATGATACTATGTTAAGACTTGGTTTCCATCTCAAAAGATCTACCTTATTAAGAGAAGTAGTTCAAGCCACTATAACTTGGTCTATATTTGCATCTCTATTCGACGTGGGATTTTATCCATTAATACCCGGAACACATGACATTCTCCTAATAACATACTTCAATTCGATTTAAGGAATAATCACGAAAGGTCATGGAACAAGTTAAAGCACAAAAAGTACACGCGCTTCACGAGTTCATAATTCAATGTTGCAAAAAAAATTCTAAGCAAATGACTAGCATGATAAGGCAACTTGAAGTCCACACCAACCATACCATTGTGATGTCCTAAGAAACCAAAAATAACGTCTTCGGGAATTGCAGAAATGTTGATGCACGATGCTATGTATGTTCATGTGTGAATGAATGAAAATGAAAAGCCATTGACAAAAGTTCATATCTGTGTTAGTACGACAAAAAAGCCAGAGCAAGTTGAAATGAAAAATCAAAATTCTTCTCTTGGCATCAATCGTATGTGTTGGGGATGGAGAGGAGGTGAAAATAAAGGATGAGACCATGCCTCATATGACAAGATACCACCAGAAGAACCGGGTTGGCGAATTGTAACATTGGAGACAGAACCATTAGCAGAAAGAACACAAATCCCTCGAGAGCCCTTCTGAGCAAATGTAAGGATCTTCCCTGCAACATCCTGTGTATTATAAAATACAAATACCACAGAGAATGTCAGGAACGCAAGTGAATCTGCAAAGGGATCCTTTTAAGAGCTAACAGAATTCTCACTACCTCTCCGGTATATACAGTGATCACATGCGGCGTAAAATCCCCTCTTGCTGTGGTTGTGAACAATTCACCTGCACGGATCGAAAGCACTAAATGTAAGAAAACAATATCAAAGAACTCATGCTAGGGAAAAGGGAAAGAAAAAAAAACACAAGAACCAACAAAGTAAAAATCAAAAGTGAAATGAAATAAGGAAAGAGAAATACAAGAAACATCCAAATTTTACCTCAGAATGTTTTTTTTTTTCTTGAGATATATTTTTAGAGATTGATCTATAGTAGCACAAAAATGAAAATAATATTGCATGGATGTTAGTCAAAGGGAATTTCCAATGGCAGCTTAAACAGTGAACTCAGAGCAAACTCCAAGGACCAAACCCCACCCCACCCCACCCAAAAAAAACACACAATGAGAAAAACCCTAGGCTTCATTTTCCTCTAGGAGCGCCCCCCAACAAAAAAAAATAAAAAGAAAAAAAGAAGAAAAAAGGAAACAAAGGAAAAAACAAAACAACCCAAAAGTGTAGAAGACACATCCTTTTTGCAAAAATGAAAAAAAAAAAATAAAAAAAAAAATCAAATCTTGGCATAGACCCACAAGAATAGATACAAGATAATATGCAAAAAAATTAATTACGAATGCAGGTAATAGTGAGATTGTTTGAAATTCCATACCTAAAGAAGAAAGAATTTGCCAGTTGCCGGAAGCAGGAGGCCTACCACGCCCTTTTTTGGAGCCAGCCGGGGTCGGTGACAAAGTGAAGCCTGCCGGCGGCAGAACTCCACCTGGTGGAGATCCTACATATGGAAATCTTAGATTCCCATCTGACTCATACTTTCTTGGCCTCCCTCTCTTCTTTTTACCCATCGTTAACTCACTACTCCCACCTCCTCCTTCGCCACCCATAGTACCACCCACGGTGACTGCTGTTGCGTTTATCACCGCAACACTTCTTTCCATGCTCATTTTCATCACCTGTGACGCAACGCCACCACCGCAACTAACAGCTACGCCTCCAGCAGCACCCCCACCAACACTATCACCACCACTAGTCATCGGTGGTGACTCAGACTCTGAGTTCCCACCTGGTGAACTTGACTCAGTGCTCTCCTTGTCTTCCATTTCCATGTTTTTTTATTGGCGGAGATTTATTGTAAATTTATTATTCAAGTGCTATAAATTCTTGGACTCTAAAAGGAAAGGAGCTTTGAAAGATTGGTAGGTGAAAGAATGGCGCCAGAAGTTTCAAGACTTGCACTTCGTATTATATTGTTTCTGTTTGGAGTTTGTGAAGTTGAATTCATGGAGTTCGGAGAGAGAGAGAGAATGACTTTCTCTCTGACACTGTCTTTGTCTGGAGTTTGCTGTGGAAAGAATGAAAAAAAAATCGCCCATTTTATATTTAAAATAAATGGCATGATTTTGTTTTCTAATTTGAAGATGACAATTTTATTTTAAAAAATATATACAATGTTTTTTAAAGAAATTTGAAATTGTTTTCTTTATTTACTTTATGGCATAATTAATATTTCTTATTATTTTAAAAATTTTAACCAAATGTATGAAGAAACAAATTAAATTTGGGAATATATTTTCCCAATAAAATTTCCTAATTAAATATATTTACACATTTTCATATTAACCAAAAACAGAAAGTTTAGAAAATCGAAAGTGTCGTATTTTCTAATAAAATTCGACATTATTTAATCCATATTCTTAAGCTTTTCAATTTGTTTCAAATTTATAAGGTAAATATTGGATTTTTTTTGGTCATGTAATGGAAATTTATTTAATATAAAACTTTTAAAAAATCAAAAGTCATATTTTCCAATAATACTTGATGTTATTATATCCATGTTTTTTCAATTTTTTTTGAATTTATAAGGTAAAATATTGTATTCCCATTGTGTAACTGTAATAGGAATCATATTTTTTATTGGATAATTCAGACTTAGCCCATATTTGAGCGTCATTTTTTTCAAAATTCATTTTCAATCACACACTGACACACTCCCGTAAAATAATTATACACATTTTTCAAAAAAAAAATCATTATTATAATACAGTTTACCCAAAAATAGAAATCAAACAGGGGGTTAATATTGACATTACTCATCTGTTTTTCTTTGTTTACAATTATTATCTATCCAAAGTAGGAGTAAAAAAAAAAATCACCAAATTACGAAATCGTCATTTCAAAACAGTTGTTTGTGTCCACAAATTTGTTTTTATAATCTGTCAACGTTTTAATTTTGAATCGAATCAGATTCGTTTACTCGATTAGAAGTAAAATAAAATGAATAGGGAGAATATGTTTGGACGTTGATTATAAAAATCAGTCAAAATTACAAATCGTTAATTTTGCTTGGTGGTGTGTGAAACATTGAATTAGAAGTTGTAGAAAATTCATCATACATTTGTGAACAATATATTATAAATTAAAAGATTACTTATTTAAAAAATAACTCATACATGCATTAATAATAAAAAATTATAATTTACTCATTTTCAACCTTTACTAATCAAAACAGTACTTATTTATTTATAAACTTACTTTTATCTATCTTATTGTTTAGTTGCAATACAATATTATTGTTGCTAGAAACTTAGAAAGTACAAAATCAAATCATTAAATTAGCAAGATAGTCTATGAAACATTGATTGATCAAACAAATTGTCTGTTCCACCTATAGATATTTTCAAATTATCTATTCTTGCACGCGGTGAGTGCTTTAGGGTGAGTCGACGATAAAAAGGCAAAAATAGGAATGGAAAAACCTCGTGTGGGACATGGAGAGTATGGTTGTGAACTGTTTACATCTTCATATACGTCGATTTATAACATAGTTAATTTCAAACCGAACCTAAATTGGGCTAAATAAGGGTCAAATTATTATAGAGACAAACGATGAAAAATTCAATGACACGGGGCTCCAAATTGAAAATAAGTGCATTTGTTTGACTAAACTTTAACCACTAAGTCATTGTTTGGTTAGCTAAAAATCATAGAAATGTATGTTGAAAGTTGATAAAAATTGTGAATCGTGTGAAATTTGTTGTTAAAATTAACTAATAACTTTCACTTACGTTTTTATCCACTTTTTTAGTTGAACCGAACATTGGCTAAATAAGTTTATCTTCGTGAAGAATTTATAAAAGATTTAATTTATAAAGATAAAAATGAGTTACCGATGAGCAGACAATACTTGTAAGTCAATTGGAATGTGTAATTGAAAATGAAGTTCAACTAAGTATAAATGATTTATGAATTTTGCCAAACGAATGCGAAATAAGTAAAGGCACGCTGAGAAGTATTTATAAACGATTTAATTTATAGATAATAGATAGAAGTTGTAGGTTCCTTAAAGTGTGAATAAAAAACGAATTGAAGGTTTATTCAAGTTGTAAATTATTTTTCCATTAACCAAAATTTAAAAATATACGAGTTATTTATTTAAAAAGTATCTTCCATCTCACTATTAAAATAAAACTTCATTTACTCATAAATAAGAAAAAATCTAATTGAAATAAGCTCGACTTACTTTAAATTTAGTCAAACGTTATGTAAAACAACGGAAAAAGAACAAATAAAAGGGATAAGACTCAACATAGGTTTAATATCATTATTAATGTTTTAGAAAAAGATGGAGAATCCCAAGTGATAAGCATGTGGTTGGTTAGTAATTTTCAAATATCTTTTTAGTTATAGAAACTTTATTTACGAGTAATATTATTTAGAGCTTGTTTGACAATTATTATTGCAGGAAAAAAAAAGTTTTGAATAATAATTTTTAGGAGAATGTGCAGTTAAAATGTATGGAAAAGTTTTTGGTATACGTGTAAAATATTTAGCTGTGTGAATGCGTGATTGAAGATGATCATGTAACAAACCATAAAATAAATTAATGAATATCAAACATGTACTTAATATTAGTGGTGTTACGACATCTGTCTAGACAATATTTATAATACTAACAGCATGTTTGGGCCAGATTTTAATTTGATTTTAATTTAAGTTAAAGTCAAACAATTAATATCAACCACATCTTTCATGGGTCCCACATCTTTTCAACCACACATTTCAAAAACTTCCATCACAATCCACTTAAAATCTGATTTCAATCTACACCAAACACTCTCATTTAAATGAACAATTTATTTCATACATTTAATCGAGCATATCATTTAATAACACATGTATGATAATGCTGCAACAACAGCGATTTTAGATATCATTATTCTATATTTACTAGGTATTTGATACTCCGAATTAATTACATAAACACAATTTAAAAAATCTTACTAATTGAGAGTTCCATGGCATGCTTTGATAAAGTTGATGCATATTCCCAATAAACAAAAAATAAAAAACTGAAATTTGAATCTTTTGAAACAAGAAAAACCCTAGTTTTTGTAGACTACAAATCATAACAAATTATGTATTTATTAAGGAAGAGAGGACCACTAAGTCTAAATTCATATGCAATCCAAGTTTATTTTAATAAATACAGTTGAAATAAAGCTGCAGCATTATAATTAAAGTTAATAGAAACCCCAATCCCATGTGATTTGATTCTTTAATACTCAGTCACGACAAAGACTTGATATACATAAAAAAAAAATTCAAATAAATAAAAATTCATATTATATATTTCAGAATTCATAATTAATACACAGATCATGTTTGGTACACATTAAGGCTCTATTTGTTAGCGATTTTTCATGAATTTTCAACAGAAAAAGGACCGTTAGTGGGGCCTAGCTGAGAGAGTGGCAGTCAATAAGTGCGGCCCAATGGTAAGAATTTGGATGAAAATCTGGCCAAAAAGTTTGGTCAGACAGACTCTAAAATTTTTAGAGCTTGTTTGGAAAAGATTTTTGGGGGAAGAATTGATTTTAAATAGTAATATGATGGGAAATGTGTAGTTGAAAAGGAAGAAAAAATTATTGATGTGATGGAAAATATTATTTTATTGAAGAATGTGTGGTTAAAAATGAGAATTGATTTACTGTAGAAAAATTTAATTCCTCCCAACCAGGGCCTTAGTGCTTGTTTGGTAAGGATTTTTAGGGGAATAATTGATTTTAAATAGTGATATGATGGGAAATGTGTGGTTGAAAAAGAAAAAAAAATATTGATATGATGGAAAATATTATTTTATTGAAGAATGTGTGGTTGAAAATGAGAATTGATTTTGAGAATCAGAAACAAACAACCCCTTATTCTTATTCTTTTACTCATTTTCAATCACGCATTTTTCAATAAAATAATACTTTCTATCACATCAATAACTTTTTTTTTTTTAACCATACATTCTCTATCAATCTACTATTTCAGAATACATTCTTTCAAAATAATGTGGCTCAAACACACCATCAACACGCCAAAGACTTGATATACATAAAAAGATAATAATCATATTATATATTTCAGAATTCAGAATTAACTTTAACTTTTTCATTCTTTACTTTTATTTTTATTTCTTTATGGCTGCCGGCTTCTTTGACATTTTGGTACTTTGTGACAAATTGCAACCCCAAAACCTTCTTACATATATGACTTTCTCGTATAAAAATATAGGCAAATTTATCCTCGATTACATTTGGTGAGAATTAAAATCAGATTGTTAGTATATTTTGACAGAAATCAATGAAATGTATGGCTGAAAAGTTATAAGACGATTAAGATTTGTGATTAAAATTAACTGTTGACTTTGATTTAAATTCAAATCTACATTTTAATTCATACTAAACGTGGTATATATATTCTTGGTGTCTAACTTGTGTTAGATATGTTTGATTTTTGATTAAAAAAAAAAAGTTAATACCTTATTTTTTAAATTAAAATTTAAGAGATAGGATTTCAGGTAATTTTTCTTTTTACAAATAATTATGGTACGATTATCGTTTTTTTTTTTGTAAAGGAAGAAATCCCTTTAAAACGTTGACTTTGCTTTGAGGAAGTAATCATGGTAGAATTATAATTTTAAAATCTCAAATAAATAAAACATTCCGATGTTTTTTATCGTAATTTGGTACAACGAAAATCTCGTAAGCAAATCCATATATATGTGCTTATTGCACTTACGAGCGCATGATATCCAAACAAATATGCTTTTTCA